GATTTTGGAGAGCAGGGGGGGCAGAGGGAAAGGAAATGCTTACTTCAGAGAAATGATTCACTGGGGGAGGAAGGTTTTTGCAATCAAAACACCATTACTAAATACAAGAAGCAAACTTGCTTGTGTGGCTTCAGAAAACAGAACGAAGAGCCACATGTAAAAGTTACAGAAACACGGATCTTGGATCAAAATAATGAAGCATCGCTTAAGGAGAATGATGCAAAGACAGAATGGGCTGTTTCAGGGGATAGTAAGTTCTTTTTTTTTTTTTTTTTTGCGGAACCGGGGATTGAACTCAGACCCTTGCGCATGCCAGGGAAGCGCTGATTCCACTGAGCTATCTCCCCGGCCCCTGGGACAGTAAGTTCTGCATCACTGATGAGTGATGTCCAGATTAAGTTAGCTGAACATATGGGTCACATATAGAGCATGAAATAGGCATGAATGGTCAGAAGGAAATTATAACCTTTATCAAAGCAGCGAATGATACCCAAGTTTTCTTCTAATCTCTACCCTATTTCATTTCATTAAGATGTTCTTGACTCACACATGCCTGCTTCTTAAGCCAAAGCAGAGAAACAACACCCTGAACCAGCAGATGGTCACCTACACCATGGTTTCAAGCACAACAGAGGTGACTGACTGCACTGCCGCACAATGGCACTTGCCAGGGAGCGCGCCCCACAGGCGGGTGGGGGCCCGAGCTTGGGGATGCTCTTCCCGGGAATCCTCCAGTGTCCCAGGAATCCTCCAGTGTTCGAGTTATTCCTGAGGTAGCAGAGGTACTGACTGTTCTTATAACACTTTCTTCACCCTTAGCATCTCTGTCTCCTACAGTAAGTATCCTAGTAGAGGTTATGCGACCACTTGGATAGGGGATAAGCAGAGATTATTCCAAGCAGTGCTGGCCGGATGAGATGATATCTAAGCTATTGAGTCGCCATGGTTTTATAGGGTTCTTAACTACTGTAGAGCCCGATACCAGAAAGGATCAGTTCTTCCATAGTGTGCCACCACACCCAGTCTCAATCGCTGTCTCAGCATGCCCTGTGGGCAGGGCCTGCATGGCACACCAGGGATAGAACCCTGGCCGCTGTGCTCTGCCTAAGCAGGCACTTTAGTCCTCTAAGCTATCAGGCCGGCCCACCATATGCACATTTTATAAAACTAAATGGAATAGGGTGTTGCTGATGCTGGTCTTTTCAACATGAGCATCTAACCATGACAAAAAATGATGACCTTATAATTCATCTCAACTGTTGGGCTTACTCTAGGATAGAATATCTATGAGGGAACTGTTTCAGTCACTGATAACATATCTGCAATGCCTAGCACATAGTAGGTGCTTAATAGATATCTTAAATGATGCGTGGCTGGAAGACCAGCTGATCATGAAATCTGAAACAAAACTGCTTTCTTTAACCAACTTCAGAAGTCTCACTTCTTTCTAGAGCAAAAGGTAATGAGGCCTTGTAGCTTCACAACTCCAAAGACATGGCCATATTAGAGCAAGTGAAGTCTGTCAGTACAACAGAAGCTTGGGGATGGACTGTGGGTCACCAAGAATTATAAAAGAGCAGTACCTGCGTAGTCTGGATGATGGTGAGGTCATTCACACGAGAAATCCCTGCGCCCATAGGCGCCCGAAGGCCAGCCGTCCCAAACTCCATTCGGGCCCCGAAACACTTCTGTAATTCTTCTTTCATACCTGCTGCAATTAACTGTTTCACTGTCTCCAAAGTTAGAGGATTCTGAAAAACAGAAATGGATATAGCAGATACAGCCGGGTGAGTAAGAGAACAAAAAGCCAGCAATTTAAAAAAAAAAAGCCACAATAATTCTATTCTCTAGGGAAAAAAAAAAGTCTGCAGCGTAGACTTTTTAGTTTTCTGATGCTTTTGAAGTGTGAAACAGGAGATCTGTCTGACATGATAGCATCACTATAATTTTCTTTCCTCCCAAAGCAAGTTCTTTTGGAGAAATGGAATGAGCAGGCGTTTTAGAACAGAGGTCCAGTGCCTAGCTGGAGATTCAGACCCCTTGCTCACAATCTGTGTCTGCTTGGGCAAGCTACCCAGCATTGTGGATTCTCGATTTCTTCACCTATGAAAAGGGAACAATGTAGAACCTCATTACATTTTTTTCGTGTATTTAGTACAAGGTGTACAGGGGCTCACTACACAGATACGACTCACAGTGATCTTCCTGCTTTCAGCCTCCCAAGTGCTGGGATTACAGGCACACACCACCATGCCTAGGCTTAGTTGTGGTCTCAGTGCGCCCTAGGGGTGGGCCGGCACAGCACACCAGGAGTCGAGCCCTGGTCCCTGAGCCTGACTAAGCAGGCACTTTAGTCCACTGACCTATCTGGCTGGCCCCCTTACATGTTTATTTAGGCTTTACAGTAAATGAATATGATCTCTTTCTCTCTCTGTCTCTCTCCCTCTCTCTCTCTCTTCATTTTCTTTCCTAATGCCATCACACTTTCCCAGAGTTAAAGATCAAAATCCTTTTTTTTTGTAGTGCTTCATAATTCACATACATGGGTGATTTTTAATCTCGTAACAACTCAACGAAGCAGACAAATCACAGATGTAATGTTTTATGCCACAACAAGTGAGTGACTTCTTTCAACTGCACAATAAGCATTAACTTGATTCTTTGCCATTATATTAATGGCTTCAAACAGACACTGACATGAATCGTTTAAATTCATTACATATTGCCCTTTGTAAAATAGCTGTGGATGTCCACATTAATCCCTTATCAGATTTTTCAATTAAGGGGTTCTGGGGACTGACAGAAACAGTACTTTACTTCTATCTTATAGTCATCAGTGATTTAGATGAACACTCAGACAGGACGTGGCCACATAATTAAACTTTGAAATATTATTGGATTAACCTTGACTTCTTGGAATTAAGCCCATCTCTCCAGAGTGTTCCAGATTCAACAGGAATCAAGTACAACCACACCTTTTGACCAAAAGCAATAGACACTAATCACAGGACACAGTCTTACCCATCAAATTGCCAGGTGCCCCCAAGGAAGGGCTCAGATCGGGTACAAAAGAGAAGCTCAATAAATATCTGTTGGTTTCATGGTTACACCCAATATCCAGTGATTCTCTGATTCATAATGTGGAGTTGGAAAATCCTAATTTGCTTTGGGCATGTAGGAAAGACCCAGTAGCCTGAGAGAAATAAAGCAGACAGAGATCATGAAAAGTCAAGAAGGCAACAGCCCTGGGGTGACCAAAACCGACAAGGACCAGACCAGGACTGGGCTGCAGCGCTGGAGCAGCTAGAAGCCTTGGGGAGAATCAGGCAGCGCTGGTAGGAGTTTCCCAGGAGGAAGTACAGGCTCCCTCCCACATAAATGCTTGTCTGACACCAAGAAGAAATGGAAAAGAAAGAGCAATCCAAAGTAAAAGTTAAATAACAGAAAAGGACAACATTCTTCTGACTCAGGAAGCTACCATCCCTGCAAAGATACAACCTTTTGTAGAAATTAATTTTCTTTTTTTCTTCAAAGAGAAAGTTGTATGGAACAACTTTACCAACTGGTTGTCAAAAGTACTCTTCTGGCTCCAAGTTACTAAATTATCAGCAAGGGAAACAGTTTCCTTCCTTGAAGAATGGTGAAGTCATTCTTTCAGAAAAAGCCAACAGCTCTCCGGAAATGGGCGTAGCTGACATCGGTGGAGGGGAGTCAGGAAATGGTAATTGAAGACTCTTTCATTGAAGAAGTGTTTTGGGACCCCACTACGTGCTGGCACTGTACCGGGCACTAGGAACCGCGGGGTTGGTGAGGCTGGCAGCATTTGCTAAACGGTATTCGAGGGCCCTGGGTAAAATGAAAAGGAAGCAAACTTGATTCAGTGATCAAGAAGCTGCAGGGCCAGGGAGATAGCTCAGTGGAATAAGAGCTTGCCTGGCAAGCTCAGGGTACTGAGTTCAATCTCCGATCCCGACAACTGTTTGTGGGTTTTGTTGTTTTGTGTTTCCAGTCGCGGTCAGAGCTGGGGGGGGAAAGGATAGGATGTCTACAGAATATTTGGGGGCGAGAACGCACAGCCGGGAGCGCGAGAAGGCCGTTCGTAGCACCATTCACACCCCCGACAGAGGCGACAGTGTCAGAAACAAAAGAGCCGAAGGGAGCAGAACGTTCTGGGGAGACAGCGCGCTCGGAGGAAGCCGCTCACCTGGTCCCAGCGCAGCCACTGGGCCGTCTCGCGCTCCAGCCGGGCGTCCATGCTTCCCGGAGCCGGCGTCCCTGCCGCTGCCATCCCGCCAGCCGCTGCCGCTCAGGGAAGGCCGGGTCGCCTTCCGGCGGGCGGGGAAAGTGACGCGTAATGGGGCGGCTCCAACCTGCTGGCAGCCGGGCGTGTGTGTCCCGTCCCCCAGGGGTCCCCGGGGCACCCCAGCTGAGGAGCAGGGGTTCGTTCGATTTACACGAAACCCTGGAATAAGTAAAATTGTAAGAAAATAAATCAGTGATTTCTTTCAAGAGCTGGGACTGGGGAAAAGGGGTGACTGCAAAGGGCTCAGAGAGATGGGGGGCGGGGGGGAATGTGATGGAACCGCTCTGGGTCCGGATTGAGATGCTGCTGCAGAGCTTGCTGAGCTGGGCTGAGCTGGGCCCAGTGGCACCAGGCTTGTCATCTCAACATCCTGGGAGGCAGAAGCCAGAGCATCACGGTTTTGAGCCTACGCTGGGGAATTTGGAGATTTTGTGAGATCTTGCCCGAAACTAAATAATAGCTGGGTGTGGTTGCACACACCTGTAATCTGAGCACTGGGGAAGCCGAGGCAGGAGGAGGATGGCAGCGAGTTCTAGGCCAGCCTGGGACACACAGTGAGTTGAAGGCCAGACTGAATTACATAGCGAGACCTTGTCTCGAAACAAAAACAACAAACACTATGAAAGCGCTGGGGTCAATCCTTAGTACTTCCACAAAACAAAACTCAGAATTGTACACTCAGCGGGTAAAAGTCTCTGTATGTAAATTATATTTAAATTTTTATAAATGTTATCCTTGCGCAGGGGCCATGCTAATCTTCTCTGTATCGTTCCAATTTTAGTATATGTGCTGCCGAAGCGAGCACTAAATTTTTATAAATGTTAAGATTAAGAAGCAGGGATGTTGCTTAGTCGTAGAGTGCTAGTTTAGCAAGTACCAGGCCCTCGGTTCAATGACCAGCATTAAAAAATAAATAAATAAAATGAGATTAAAACCTAAAAAGAGGGGGGCCTGCCGGTTAGCTCAGTTGTTTAAGCACCTACTCATGCAAATGCAGTCAGGCTCAGGATACCGTGGTTGGATTCCCCACCTCAATTTGCCTTACCAGACCCACCCTTAAGGCAGCATGAGCCAACCAAAAAAAAAAAAAATCAGTCTCAAAACCTAAACATAACCCTGATAGGCTGAGGTAGGCTGAAGATGGTGAGGTGGGGCCCAACCTGGACAATTTAAGGAGATCTTGTCTTAGATAAAAGATTAAAAAGAGGGTTGGAAAGGCCGGCCAGACCTGCTTAAGTGGAGCCCAGGGACCAGGGTTCCATTCCTGGCATACCATGCTGGCTCCTCCCCGGGGTGCTAAAACGGCGACTGAGACTGGGCATGGTGGCACGCGCCTATAATCCCAGCATTTGGGAGGTTGAAAACAGGAGAATCATTAAAAGTCCGATGTACACAGTGAGACCCTGTAGACCCTATAGCCCTGTACTAAATACATTAAAAATAAATAAATAAATAAATAAATAGTTATGGTTTGTGTCTAGTTATCCCCCTCCCCAAAAGCCTCATACAGTCTTGAGGCAGCTTCAGGAGTTTGACTGATTACTGTGGGTGTGGGCATTGCACCTGCCCCGGGGCAGGTAATTTGCATTTCAGTGTAAGGTGGGAAGAGACCTAGATGCTGGAGCTGTTGCTACTCCTCCGTTTGGCTCCCCCCTCTCCCATGAAAGGTTGCCCTCTGCCCTGTGTCGCTCTGCCTTGGAGCCAGCTGAATAGGGACTGAAACCTCCAGTAACTGTGAGCTAAATAAACCTTTCCTTCCATCATTTTGATTGTCGGGTATTTGTCCCAGCAATGAGAGAAGAGTAACTAAAGTTGTAGGCAGCTGAGTTAGACAGAAATATTATAGGCAGTCAGACAGGGCCAGGCCCTCAAGGAGACAAGATGGAAGACAAGGTGACTTTGCAACTTGGAAGAGACAGACACTCCCATCACACCTCAAGACCAAGACAAAAAGAGGAAGCACAGCTACATACTTCCCTAGGGATGGGCATTAGGGATTGATATCCTAAATAGTATCAATCACCTTGAAAGAGCCCAAATGAGTCACTAGCCCAGGGCCCAACAGGAAGAGACCCTGTCCCTCATTCATGCCCGCTTGCTACGTGACTCGCTTTCCCATTTGATACTGGATTTAATCAATTTTACCTGAGCAATGGTGCTTGTAATCTCATTGGTTGACCGCAGTTTTGTCCCACCTCATGCCCAACTAAGCAAGTTCCCATGTGAAGACCACCACCTTAGACCCGCCTCACCACATGGCTTTCCTCTATAAAAGTCTCTGCAAGAGACAACTTCCTTGGGGGGGAAACTACCCGCTCGGGCCCCCCTCCTGTCTCTCTCTCAGGACAGGAGCTTTCTTTCTCTCAATAAATATATTCTGCTCATAACCTCCGTTTGTTCCTAAAATTCGTTCTTCAGTTTAGAGAACATGAACTTGTGCAGGTCAGGTCCAGAAATTGTTTTTCTTTGTCATTTGGAGGTTCCCTATATTGTTTGGAGGTCACCCACCCGGGACCAGTTTTTCTCCCTGTATCACTAAGACTTAAATAAATAAATAAATAAATGATAAATAAAGGGTTGGAGATGTAGCTCAGTGTAAAAGGTCCTGAGTTCAATCTTCAGTGCCACACACACAAGAAGATGAGGATGAAGAAAGAAAGGATCTAAAGGAGGCAAAATTCTTTATGGAGGTCAGGAAAGTGATTTCCTCCAGGTAACAGGGAACCTGCCTTTGGGGATTTTGGACCTGTTCTTGGCCTGAGTAGGATTTCCGTGGGCATTTACATATAATAATTCACTAAGGTGTAGTCATATGAATGTGCATTTTCTGTGTGCTCTACTTCAATTTGAAAAGAAAATATGTATCCAGGATCAGTGCACTTGGTTATAGTAGGAGAAGCACATACGTCACCAGACTGTAACAGTTAATGCCTGCATCTAGCCGGCAGCTACCTGCAGACCTGTGCGTGTGTGGTGAAGCAGGATGCCCTAGTCCGGGCTTCTGCAGATGTCTCCTTGAACTTGCAGGGGATGCAGAGCTGGGGCCTCGTTGGTGGTGAATGTGAGGAGCCAAATGGTCCTCAGACAATTTCTGTTCTTCCTTCCACGGAGAGGCGGAGGGAAAGGAGCACTGAGGAGATGCAGGGAAGTGAAAAGGAAGGAGCCCTTGCTGCTGTACGGCTGAGTCTCGGCCCATGCTGCACTATAGCTGAACTCCACAGGTTGGGCAATTAGGAGGAAGAGAGATTTGTTTAGTTCATGGTTCTAGGGACTGAGAAGTCCAATCACACAATTTGGGGGATTAAGTCTGCAACACGTGACTTCCGGGGAACACATTCAAAATGTAGCATGTGGGCTGGTGAGATGGCTCAGTGGTCTAAAGCACCTACTTAGAACAAATTTAGCAAAGCACAGGGACCACGGTTCAATCCCCCAGCACCACATGCCAGCCAGCCCCGCCCCCTGGTGGGCTGAGTTGGCCACACACACACACATAAATAAAAATTAAAAAACAAACAAACAAACAAACAAACAAAATGTAGCACGTGGACAGCAGCAGGGTCCCCATTAGTCAGGTTGGCCTACTTGAGTTGACTCCTTTCTCTGCACTGGACCAACCCTTTTCTCTGTCACATCAGGCAGAAATTATACGGCATGTGGAATAAAAGAAGTCTCGGTCACCCTTGTTTTCCTTTTCCATGCCAGTTTTCCGGGATCAGTCTTTCCATTTCTGCCGAGGTGGCTGTGGCTTCTCTGTGTCACAGGCCTCAGGGCTCATATGGGACCTCCATGATGGTCAGAGTGGTTGTTACCACATCTCTGCTCTGGTGCAAAAGGCAGGCGCTCACTAGGACCTGAAGCATGATGTACTCACAGTGGTGTCTATTTAGAACTATTGTAACAAGAGGCAGACCTCTCAGTGTTCTTCTTCTGACCAGAGAAGAAAGAGGAACTGTTAAAGAACTTGTCAAACTGCAAGCAGATTTTCCAAGTACAGGAAGCTCTTAGGTGCTGCACTGAAATGAAAGCATGAGAATCAATTACTCCTGCTTCCCACGTGAAGCAGAAAAGAGACCCCCTCAGGGACTTGCAGGAGTCTCTGTGGGCAGGAGGAATGCCCAGGGTGCTCTGCAACAAAGATGGCAGCCCTGAGGGTCATTCTGGTCCTGACGGTCGCACTACATGACCTGAAGCCGCTGACTTTCCACATGTGACCCCACAGGTATTATCATTTCATTTCTGTGGAAGCCCACACAGCCCAGTAGAGTGGACCAGGAAGAAGTTTTGTGCATGAAGATGCCCTCTAGCTTCCTGCTTTATACGCGATACACTACTGACTGGGAATTTGAGGCAAGCTCCAGATACGACACTGGGTGTGACGGAGTCAAGATTCTCACCCTGGTCTCCTGATTGTCTAATCTAACATTCAGTGTCCTGCTCTGCTTGGCCCATTTTTACACACGTCCATAGCAGGAAAGAGATGAACCCTGGTAGCCTGTTGCCATGAGATAACAGCTGGCTCTTGATGAAGACCAAATATTGACCATCTCTGGCACGGGTAATGTGCAGTGGTGCTGGAGACGGCCTTGTACGTGCTCCCTTGCTGCCTTGGGATCCTCTTCAGTGGGTGTCCTTGTTTCCTTGGAAGCCTTCCCAGTACTGTCAAATGCCTTCCCAGTACTCCTTTAAGCAGCCCAGGGGCAGTGCTTCCAAAGCATTTTATTAAGGGCAGTTGTGGATATTTACCAAAATTGATCCCCATGTAACTGTCATGCAGCTCAACAGTGATCAAATTATGGCCAGTCTTGCTTTAACTGCCTACTCCACCATTCTGAATTTCTGGAAAGAAGATTCCAGACACCACAGTATTTTAGCTACACATTTTAAAATGTGTGTCTCTGATATGTAAGGACCTCTGAAAAATAAATCCCAAAGTTAATATCTCACTATTTTGTTTTATCTTTGAGACATGGTCTCACAATGTAGTTCAGGCTGACCTTGAACTATGAAGTCCAGGCTGGCCTAGAACTCAGGTTGATCTTTCTGCCTCAGCCTCCCCAGTGCTGGGATTATAGGCATGTACCACCACTCTTGGGTCACTAAAATTTTAAAAAATTAAAGTCAATAATTCCTTAACATCACCACATGTTTATTTAAGTTTTAATTTCCAGGAATTTACTATGTCATTTTTAATGTTTGCATGAGTTAGGAGACAAATAATCTCCCTACTGAGTGATAAATCACTTATGTGTACACTAACTCCATTTCCTCAATTTCTTTGTAAGTTGAAGAAACTGGATCATTTGTCCTGAAAAAGTTTCCCACAGTCTAGATTTGCTGACTGCATCTATGGTGTCCTTTAGCATTTTCCTTTTTTTCTGTATTTTTTGAAAATGTATTTCATTATTATTATTATTATTTTTTATGGTTTCTCCCTCAGTGAGCTTTGAGCTCCCAAAAGACAGAAATAGTATCTTGTTTATCTCTTTCTACCCAGAGCCTAGCGTTGTAAGTACTCAACAAATGACTAAAGCAATGAGTGAAGTTGGGTGGATATTGATTCTTTCCTTATACGGAAACAGAACGACTGTAGAGTCAGTCTGTTGAAGAGTAGATGCAGGCTTCAATCTTTAATCCTTGGAGGGATTTTGAGTAAGTCTCCTAACTTCTATTGGCCTCAGTTTCCTTATCTCAAAAATGAAATCGGCAGTTATATCCTTCTCATAGGGGTTAGGTGGCTCAAGTAAGAAAATACATGGAAAATGCAGAGCCTGGCAGCGAGTAAGTGCTCCGTAAATCTAAGTC